AAACTCAAAACGGGGTGAAAGCTGTCGGCGGCGGTTGTGAGGTTAAAAGTGTGACACCGGTACAGGCAACTCCTGGGCAACAATCCTCCGAGAGGTCGCAAAGCTGCATGGGGACGGCAGCGGCATAGTCAGTAGGTATGGCATGAACTGAAGTACCGCGTTGAGTAGCTTTCCCTGGCCTCAACGCGTCCAGGGTCTTCAAATGCGTCGTTGCACGCGCATCAGCTACAGCCTGACAACAGCTGCACCTAGATCTGAAGCAGAACATCCACCTGACCCAGTCTCATCTCGCCACCGCATTAGGAACATGAAGGAAGAACCTGCGCGATTTCCAGAGCATGGCCGTTTGGGCCATGGCGAGAAGACTTAGCAGTGTTTGCATCACAATGATACAACTGTAGACTGAAGGTATCCTCTCAAAACACTTTGCATTGTCAGACAAATACATCCTATCCTTTCATATCATGTTTGCATATACGGGAATCTATCTACACCCTGGTCTTGGTTCTGACTTTACGTATGATTCGGAAGTGGTTCGGCTAAACGAAGGGTTTACCGTAACCGGTTCCCAAGCTCGAAGATTTCTCGTTTGTCCGACTTTGCAGCTGCACGCTGCCTGACCAACTCTTGCTAGAATCGACCTGCCCGTCTGAGGGCCTCTTCCTGCGCACGTTGCCGGCACCATGCCTCCAGCACCGTCAATTTTGGATAGACGCAGAACCAAGCAGAACAAAAACAAAAACTGGTCTTCAACGATGACAAGGGTGCATCATTCTTGTCAGTGGTGTTGCTTCCGCTCAGAGAGAAGGCTCTTCTTGCCCGATCCGATTCACATTTCCACACCTTTTTGAGATGGCCCCTCTCGTGCTCTCGTGCGATTTCACTGACCTCGTGAGTCGAATCCAACATCGGCTAGGCCCAAGGTGTCTGGCAATTCGTGGGGCAAGTGTTGGCGGGTTGCCCTGCTCAGTCTTGAGATATGCAGTCAGGAATGGACACACGCTCACTCTTGCAAATGCTACGGAGTGCTGTGAGTTTCCTGTCCAGGGTTCCAGCCTCTTGGGCTCGGCGCCATCCAGAAAAGCCTGCGGCGAGGCAGGGTCCCCGACCTTTCCTGCATCTCTCATCCTTCCGATGCCCCCAATCGATCCCCGAGACCAGCGCTTGAGGCCCGTACAGCACGCGACCAGAGAGTCCTGGGACCAGAGACTAAGAAACCATCAACAACGCCTAAATGTGCCGCGGAACACAGAAAATCTGGAATGGGGACGTTGTTGTGAACCCTGCACGGGGAATCTCGTCGTCTAACCGGCCGTATTAATCGCACAGGAAGGAACTCCTCGGCACTGTTCTCCTGCGCGAGAGCCATCTGCATGGCTTGCTGCTTCTGTCGCTCACCTACGGAGGATTGGGAGTTTCAGTGGCAAAGGGCTGGATTTTATACAGGAGGACCCTTACTAAAAGAATTCCTAAAAGTTGGCCCTAATTGCTCTGAAGACCCCAAATTGGATCCAGGCGGGACTTCCGCTGCAGGATGAGCCCCCGCCAGGCCGACAAGAGCTGGCAGTGGAAAGGCCTGGACGGCTCCGAGCACAGGATCCTAATAACTAATTCAGGTTCGGGCACCCTCCCTCGGAAGCTTCAGGCCATCCAAACTTGCAGTCAAGGTCTCTACCACATTGTCGGGACGTCGATCTGCCCAGAACCAGAAACCGTATCTTGCCCAGGTGGACTCCAGGGTCCAGTTCTGAATCCCCCCAATGCCATGAGCACGTTACGAGTAGCGCCTTTGTGCCTAGTAAGTCCTGCCGTGCAAACTCGGCTCCCGGCCCCGGCTGTTCCTGGCAACGCTCGAGCCTTGGCTGCACTTCACATCCTCGCCGTGCGTCGTATCACACGAAGGTCGTGCGCCCCGGCCCCGGCCTGCTGTCAAACTCTCATATAGCCATAGGAGCGACTTCTGACTCCAACCAGTCCTAAGACCCTGGCGCCATCATAGCCTGCTGTAGGGCCTGGTCCAGCCAAATGTGAGTTGTACACATTGCCTGGTACAGTTGGGACATTACCTGGAAGTGATCCGAGGCCTGGTCCACGGCAGAGCTTTTGCTGGCTTGCGCCTGGCAGGGCGACCGCGAAACGCGGAGCCACACGTTTGGGTCTTGGCCTGAGAATTAGACCCCTGCGTGCTTCTGGAGTGATCTTGTCATGTTACGACACCAATTCTTCGCATGGTCCGGCGAGTGAGATTGCACGCAGACCGACTTCGGCCATGGCGGAATCGTCCCCGAGGCCTGTTCCAGACTCTGCGTCGCCTTGCCTTCCTGGATTCAGGCGCCAAAGTGCGATCCGTATCTGCACTTGAAGACTAGATCCGGATGACAGCGTTAGCTCCGCAATCCAATGCGAAACCTCGTGCAAACGAAACCCACACGAAGAGAGCCTGGCTCAGCACATCGGACAGCCCTTCTCAAACTGTCAAAGCGGAAGACCTTCCTTTGAAGAGACGTTGAATGTTTGTAGCAGCGCTCCTCTACAAACTGACGCCAGCTTCCGAAGGACTGCAGCCTGGGCAGCTTGGCCCTTCCCCTCAGCAAAAGTGACACTCCTCAACCTCGACCACACGCTGATTGAATTCCCGTTCCTGCACCATAAAGTCTAGCCGTGTTCTTTATGGGGAGAAGTTCCGCAGCTGAACCATGTGCGCCACGGGCTATGGTCAGTCGGAGTATTTGGGCGAATTCCTGCTGCTTCTACTGCTGCTGCTGCTTCTGCTGCCGCCACCACAACTTCTCTTTCTCCCCCTTCTCCCTGCTCCCTACTGCTACCACTATCATTCACTAAAACACTCCCAGACTCTTCCTCCTACTTCTACTCCTACTCCTACCATCTACTCCTACTCCTACCATTGCTAGAGCTACTCCTCCTCGTCTACTACTACAACAACAACAACAACAGCTGCTAGTACGATAACGGCTGCCACTACGACTATTGCTGCTACTGCTACTGCTACGGCTGCGGATGGGGTGCTGCTGCTACTGCCACTCCTTCTCCTGCTGCTGCTGGTCCTACTGCTCCTACTGTTCCTCCTCCTCCTCCTCCTCCTTCTCCTCCTCCTCTTTCCACCCTTGCTACTACTACCTACTACCACTACCACTACCACTACCACTACCACCACGACTACGACGACGACGACGACGACGACGACGACGACTACTACTACTACTACTACCACCAGCACGACTACCACCACCACCGCCACCACCACCACCACGACCGCGACCGCGATCATGACAATGCTGCGGCTGGCACTGCCGATGCCACTATGCACTGGCACTGTATACTGCCACTACTATGATCACGACGACAACAACCGCAGCAGTGCCGCAGTGTTGCCATTACCACTTCAACGAGTACGACCACTGCAACACTCTGTCTGCGATCTACTGTGCAGAAGCGGCACTCGCACGCTCAAGCAAAAGGAATGCCTTCCTGGGGCAGATTCTGAAAAGAAGAATTGGAGCTGAACAACTTCCCAAGCAGCTTTTGATGAGAAGCTCTGACTGTCAGTCAACAGAAACTCTTGAGGCATCACTTTTTCTCCAGGAGCCGCAGGAGGCACCAAAAGGAGTCCAAGTCTCTGTGTCGGCTCTTCGGCGACACATTGACGCGGGGACTCGCGCTGCCAAGGTTAGTAGTTTAGGGCCGAGGTTGCCAGCACAGTAAGTGTTGATGAGGTGGCTGGGCACTGGCTCATGCTGGCGGGGCTGTCGTATCATTCGCAACCTCCATCCTGAGAAGGTGCAGCCGACTTCTGGAGGGTGTGTACTGACATCTCCGAAGGAATGTACCTAGACACCTTCACTGGGATGTGTTTCGTTGGGGATCAGGACACCGATCCTAAGGAAGAGAAGCTAGTTGCCGATGTCGATATGACCGGTAGGCCCCAGGAAGAGGACGATGGAGTTGGTGCTCTAACTCCTAGTGAGAGAGCGCAACTCATCCTAGAACCTATGTCGTTTCCTGGGAGCCTTATAACTTCGGTGGCTTATGCAAGCCTAAGGTAGGCTTTTGGCCGGCCCTGGTTTAGAAGCTCTCACGAGTCGATGCGTTGCAAGATGCACCGACTTTGCAGCAGGATGCCGTGCAAGGATCACCTTAGCAAGCTTTGTGCTGGCCAGAGCGAACATGGTTTGAACACTCATGTGTGCGAATTCGCACATCGCATCGCCACATGAAGACACGGCCTCATACAGACGGAATAGCGCATCAACAGATCGGGCTCCGCAGCTGCCAACTCTTCCAGTGCGATGCTTCCCTCTTTGTGCACTGCCCCGATGCCAGAAGCGAGAACTGAATCATCCCAACTCCAAAGCAGCCCGGGAATGATGAGGCCGACACTGAGGCCGAAGGTGTGGCCGTAATATTTATCTGATCACGGGCTCAGGTTCAGGCGGGATCTACGGCAAGCGGCCAGAAGAAAAATGATCTGGTAACTTTTGCACATGCGACTCCATGCCCACGCCTTCGTACACGCAGTACCCAGCAATGTCCGCCAGATCCTCGAGGTGAACTTCAGAGGAACACGGGAATCTGAGGTTTGGATAGGACGGTTGACATGATTCGTCGCCCGAGGTGCTGCGGCTTCCGTTTCGTGGTACATGTCGCTGAGCTTGAATCTAAGCAACTTCTAAGATGCCAAGAATCGTAGCGACAGGCAGGGACATGGGGCTTCGGCTGCACCGCGAACCTCAAGTGTGAGTGGCGCTCACATCCAGATTCCGCCGTATTCATCCGGATGCAACTCCAATAACCCTGTAAAAAGCTGATCGCAAGCGGTGCTTTGAAACTCTGCGCCCAAACTGAGTAGGCCCGCTCCATGGAGGTGACGTTCGTATGATTTCTGAAGTCCTCCCGGGCCAGAACTCTCACTCCACATCTCACTCCGCATCTGCAATCTGCAAACTTGTATACCCAATCCCCAACGATCCGGACTGCTCCTTTCAGGTGGACATCTTAAGGGACCAACCTGCCCAAGCCATCCCGCCCACCTTGCCCTTGCACGTCTCTATCCCAGCCGCGACATCCTTCAACCTGGGCAAAGGCGCACGTGCAGGCTGCAGCCACGACCAATCTGCGGCAGATTCCAGATCGATAAAAACTGAATCATCATGCAGGCTTCAGGTTTACGCAACCCACTGCAACGTCAAGCGGCTCGAAGACACCCAGGTAGCAGTGGATACGCATCACTGCTCTCATCTGGGCCTGCGGCAGATGGAAACACAACATGCAGAACTTGGGCCACGTAGCATGACATTCTCCCATCCTCGAACAGCTAGGACAACGATGATGGGATCCCCTATTCAGCAGAAGCAGGCCACTTTTGTAGACTTTCACATACGTGCTGACAACACAAAGCCAAAAGAGCCAAGCACACACCCTGTCCTTCATGAAGGTTTCCTCCACCTTTGCTTGTTGGAGAGTGCGGTTGTAGATAGTCCAGTTGCCATCCTCAGCTGCATGTGTTCGGGCGCTGGCCGGAGGTCCGTACGAGAGTTATCCTCAAAGAACACCTGAGTCTGTACCTCTCTTGCAATCTTCACCGGTGCAGCTTTCTCTCTCTCTCTCCACGTCCCTCCCTGCCTCCCTCTCGCCTTGTGAAGCGAAGGCAGCTCCAAATGCCAAATGCAACCGAGGCATACACACTTAACCCCGATTTCTCGTTCTGCAGCGAAGCATCGACACAGCCCCCCGCTTCGCGGCATTTCTGACAACAGTGATTTATCTTTCAGGGCTTTTCACTCTTCGGGATTGTGCTTTTGGCTTGCGGCTTATGGCTTCGCAACGGCTGGGCCGTTTTGAAAGGACGAGAGCCCAGGTGTCAAAGCAGAGGCCTGCGGTCTCAGCTTGTTGGGTCTGAACGACAGCTCCGCAAGCATAAGAGGCCGCCTAGCTGCACCTGAGGTAGAATTAGAATGTCGCACAAAGGACCCGATTCTCCGCCCTGCTTCCGACCTCCTTGACTGCGGCCTTATACGAACACGAAGCCTCGTCCAAGGTGTCCTGAGGACAATGCGGGACTTCAGTGAGGTCGCCGGCCCTAGTGTATCCCATGCTGCAGACTGTTGGGCGAGCGCGTGAAGCTTTAGGATCGTGCCGTGTGCATCTTCTCCCAACCGGGATCGCATCAAGGCGTCCGCACCTGCGACTTGGCGCAGAAGGCCAAAGTCTGGTCGAAGGCCTCGGCATCTCCAGCTGAGGTCTCCACTCAGCGTGACAGTCAGTCTGGAGAGGCCCAGGCATTCTTGGCTTCAGCGGCGTTTCGCTCAAACTCCGCCACGTCCTCTCTCAAAACAGTACCAGCCATGAGCTGGATGCTTTCAGCGTCAGTCGCATGTGCAATCCTTCTACTCGCAGTAGAGCAAGTAAGTACTTCCAAACATCTGGCCAGCCCAGCCGCTAGCCAAACAACTTCTGCAATCTGCAACATAGTTACTAGTTACGCCTACTTCCAACTGTACCCTCAATCTGAAACCTGCCGACGACGTGGCCATGCAACCATGCTGCTCAACACGACATTCAGTGTTCAGCAGTCCAACTTTATCGGGCAAAAGCGAACGACTGTACTGGCCGTTGTCTCATGGACCTAACTAAGCTCAAACTCCCCACGTCCTGCTTGGCGCGCTCACACCGCTCACCTGGACTGTGGATGCTTTCTTGAACCCGAACACAAATCTGACATATCAAAGCTGGGAGATGCCAGTGCAAAGCAAGATGCGCGACTCGCGGATCTTCATGTACTCTTTGTCCCACCAAGCCAGCTGGTCTTTCAGGAAATCAATATACCTCGCGGCAGCCATGACATGTAGGACTGCTGTGGCAAGCACCTAGCACCATGGCATTGTGGCTGCGTACTTGAGAAGTTGGATACGAGGTGGCTACGGAAGCCAAAGAGGATGAGGGAGGCAAAGAAACTCGAGGGCTCTTTGGATCGTTGTTGGATGAATCAGAACCCGGCCAATTCTATGGCATGTCCTTGATACCTTGCGGTGTCCGAGCGGTACTCACCGAAAGATGTCTAAACCTCTCTCACACACACAGGTCCCTATAATCAAGCACATGTCTCACCCTGCTTGCCTTATCTCATAACTTTTCTCAGCAAATTGGCTACAAGTGAGGAGGCTGGGTTAAGAGGGCGGAGGGCCTACGGGAGAGGTGGGGGGGGATTCAGAGAACAAGGGATAGCGCAACCCGCTAGGGAATACTCCAACCAGAACGCTGCATATCGGACCAATCGCAACTGAAGACATATCGGAACAGTCGCAACTGAAAAGACTTCAGGTAAGGCAGAGCACAACCATTCCAACTATAAGAGTGGTTGGAAATAGTTGGAAATCTTGTTCAACTTACAGTCCTATATTCCGCTTGCGACATGTTCCGTTCACGTCTTCCTCATGGTTGTGCTGGGAGGGAACGGTTTAACAGAGAGCAAGCGAGAGAGAGAGAGCGAGAGAAGCAGAGAGAGAAGAGAGAGCGAGAGAGAAAGAAATATCAACGTATATTTAACTCCTTGATTAACTAACTAAAGATGTAATTGTTTGACTGAATAAGTAACTAGGCAATTAAGCGACGCAGTAATAATTTAATGAACGCAAGACTCAACCAAAAAACGAATGCATGAATGTGTGCATGCATGGATCAACGCATGTAGAAATGGTTGAATGCATGAATGCATGAAAGAACAATGAGATAGTAAATGAAAGAGTGAGTGAGTGAGTGAGTGAGTGAGTGAGTGAGTGAGTGAGTGAGTGAGTGAGTGAGTGAGTGAGTGAGTGAGTGGGTGAGTGAATGCTTGGTTCTTTGTTTTTGATTGATTGAATGACTGCATGAATGAACGGATGGATGGGTGAATGACTGAATGCATGAATTAACGAACAATCTGCTTACCTACTTGCGTTGTTTGTCTATATATCTTTGCGTACCGAAATGCCAACTTCTGAATTGACCCCATTGCGCCTTGTACCACTGACTGCAGGGTAGCGGTCTGTGTTGAAAAGACAGTCCCTGGACGTTCCGACCTGAGTGAACGACAACGCAGCGGAACAAGGCCTTCTGCATGACAAAGCCGAGCTTGGAGCAGGGAAGGTTCGGGAGGTCTCGTTGCCCGCATAGTATGCGCACAGGACCTCCATCCGCGCCTCAGCCGATTCTCGCTGGCATGGAAATACCGAAATATATTGTAGCCTCCATCTGAAATCGGCGCTCTTGATCGCGGGCGGTATCAATTCAATTCGAGTTTTCTCAATGTGCTAAGTGCTGGAGTGTGCACTGCAAGCCTTGGCATCCTTCGCCAGCTCTTCCATGTCCTGCGCCCAGGAACTGCGAGAACGGTGTCTTTACACAGCTTCATGTCGTTGTGAAATGGCTGTTATGTCATGTCCGGAGTCTGCAGACGCTCTTCTCGCTTGTTGTTTAGACAGCTGTGCTCACTTATGCTGCAAACCGTGACTTGCGTTGCTGTTGATGGTCGCTCCCATTTTGCTTGGATGCCTTTTGCATTGACAAGCTATCGAAGTTCTCCCGGTCCTGCTGGCCCATTCCCCGTCCCCTTCTGAAGCACAGCTTCCTATCCGGTATTATGCCGTCGAATGCGTAGGTGTAGACAATCGATGCGAAAAAGTGCGCCAGTCATGCAGGCCTCCCAGTACACTCGCACCTTTGCCTGGATCTGGCGGCAATTCCTGACAGCGATAATTTCTGGATCACTGCGAGCAAACTGTATCCGTGATGCTAGTCGTTTGGGTTTTGAGCAACAAGTCTTCGGGAAAAGATGTTGCTCCCAACACTAACGGTCAATTGCCTGTCTCAAGCGGCCTGCAGTTGCAAATGGCTGAATATCGTCGTTGCCCAAACTCTGGCTGGCTCTTGACGGCAGACCGGAAACGCAGGTCTGGGGCTGAAGCCGATAAACGCAGCAGCCGAAGACTCTAAGAGCCCTTAGCAACAAAGCCGGTGTCGGGTCCCAAGCCTGTGCTCGTTTGCCAAAGCAGGTAGTCGGAAGCCGTCCGCGCTGTAGCGAGAGAAGTTCTCCTGTGCGAGCTCAGTAGGGCTACAACCCTGTTCACTTTCCAAGCGGGAGGCCAAACCCATCCAAACTGCGTGCAAGCATGACCCTTGAGCAGTGCACAACTACTGGCCCTCTCGGAGCAAGAGAGGCTCTGAGAAGCAGGCCGCCGTTGAGGCATTCTTGTAACTCTCAACGTCCTGCAAACACAAGGCCAAGGTGCCCCAGAAAAGCACTGTAGGCTTGGGAGGACTGAACATTTTTCAATCTACCAGCAAAGGAACAATCTGCCGCTGCACTCGTGGACCCACTGAACGGTACGTCTTCACACTAGATTCACTAGATGCTCGCTGCACGTCTGCCCTCAGAACACAGAATTGCACAAATCTGTCATCCACATGTCAAAACCCTGCATTCAAAGCCACTCCCCCAAGTGTCCTCGACCAAGCACTTCAGGACGGACTCGTACTGGGCCTTCGTGACACGCTCGATGTGCTTCTGGACTCTGCAGCCCCCAAACTCATCTCCGAGCACTCAATCCGGATCAGAGGCCCCCGCAGCAAGAGCCCTCGTTGTGGCATTGTGCTGTTCGTAGAGCTCCTCCAAAGGAGGAGAACTCATACTCTGTGGGCGCTGCGGCCAAAGGAAGTTTTTGCACTCTTGGAGCATCGAGGCGATCTGCCTGCTGTGACCATGGTTATGTCATCCCCGCCGCCCTGCGTCCTTTCTCATTTTGTTGTCAAGGATCGTCCGGACTTCTTCAATAAAGGCGACCCTGGTTCGCATGGACATGCATGGCACGGAAGCAGCACAGCAACACATCTCGTGAGATGCTGCCACGGCACATTCCGGGCATCGCCCCCTGGTTCACCAGCTTCAGCACCGATCTTGCAGTGTAAGAGGCCGGGGGTTGGGGAGTGAGCTGCAACTAGGTTTGAACTAGCTAAAAGAACGGGCATCCCAAACATCGCTGCAGTAAGCATGCAACATCATGCAACAGAGTACATGTAGACAGCTGCACCCTGTGGGCAGTTTTCTTGGGACTTCATCAGCTCGACAGTTCGCAGGTACAGTAGCGGGCTCAGGCATGGATTGCATGCAAGCGAGCTGTGCACCTCTCCAAGTTCGCAAGCTCGGGGTCGTCTTCAGCTGGAACATCATCCGGACTCGGAGCGGTTCCGTCAATGCTTAGCACTTGGGGCGCAGCGAGATGCGACAGCAAAATCGGGTGGAAATGTTGAGGGTCACGGCACAGGGTTTTAATTCCAGGTCGCTTCTTCCCTCTGTTTGTACCCAAGTGAACACACCTCGACCCAGAACCCTTTGCTGCCATTCGCGCTTTCCCCACCACAACACCGCACAAGCTTCTCTGATACATGCAGGTGCTTCTGCCGTGTGGCTTCACCAGCGAGGCAACCGACTGCTTGGGCGCTGATGCGACAGGCCTTGGTATTGCAGACATGGGGATAGCGCAGGGGTACGGCAACTATGGAACATGGAGAATGTCGATTCGTCGATTCACATTCAACAGCAGCGTCCGTTGGACTGTCAAATGGTCGTCTTCTGTGCAATGCCAAATCCTGCCGAGCGAGATCGCATGAGATCGACGACGTGAAGGTAAGACTGAGCCGAAGTACATGAAGCCTAGAATCTAGAAACGCAACCACCAAGCCAGGAAGAGCGAGGAAGACTTTGATCCCAGAACGTCTGGTCGGTCCAGGCCCACGGCTGGGCGGGCTTCGAGCTCAACTGGCAACCACGCACACGCAGACATGTCAGCGAAGCCGCGTTGATGCTGCATGGCATTAACATGTGTTTCTTGAGCACATGGAGGTCGGAACTAGAGCTGGCTTTGTAGGGATGTAGCTACATGTCGTAGGGAATCGGCCACTGACTGACCCTCCATCAACACAAACCCAGAAATCCAGCAAGCAACGATCTGTAAAGCCACTGATTTTTCAACCTACGACGTTTGAAACTTCGAAAACTTGTGAGCTCGGCTGTTGGCAGATAGAACGGGACACATGCGAAAGAGGTGAGTGCAGCACCGAGTAACCGGAAGCAATGCTAAACTGCTCTGAAAACGGAGAGAACCGTAAGAAGGCACTCTGGCAAGTATCATCCCACCTCTCCACTGCGATCGAAATCGTCTTCCCGCACATCAGCACCAGACCTGCCACAGCTTTACTTGCGGGCTCATCTGGAACGTCGCCTCTTCTCAAAACTCAGGGGCAGGCGGCGGTGCTATCTCAGCAGCCTCCTGGGCAGGATGTTGCTTGTCACACATCCCAAGCGAGCCATGGCCACAAACAGGCTTGTGGTATCTCTGCCGCAGATCCACAAATGCGATAGTGCTGAGGCTGCAGACCCTTTGGAACTGAGAATCCAGAGATTCTGTGTCAGCAGAGGTCCTGCTGACAGTCGCAGTGATGACTGTCCCAGAAGCAGGTAAAGAATGAGTGTTGAGGCCTGACGGCCTACAACTTTCTACGCATGCATACAGATGCTGCAAGGTTTAGCCAACATCGTTCCACAACATGATCTGTCCAATCTCCCCGGTATCAACAGCCCCATCTAGGCAGCCAGCCTACAAACGTCTAGACTGACAGTTCTGGCTGTAGCACAGTGAGGATCGGGCGAGCCGGCATTGAGTGTCTGCAGCGCCTTGCGATAAGGTTGACAAGCATGAGGCCCCTGTATTTCTAAGAGTTGTTTGCAGCTTCACAAAGCTCCATGGCCGTCGGGCAATCAATGCACTTTCGCACCTTTTCGCATTGCTGAGTCTGGCACAACATCGACTCCCGAAGCGAGATCGCTGGCTGGCTGAACTTCCGACCTGTGGCTACAGTGCTCCTGCGATGTCCGACAAGCTCAGAGCCACCGTGCACAAACATCGACTTCGCAACTCCTCAGCATAGCTCAGGCAAAGGCAGGTCTAGCTCTTCCTGGTCGTCGAAATCATCCCAACCTGGCAGCTGCAACTCCCGCTGACAACGCAGCACAAGGCCGAAATTAACATCCTAAACACAGTTTGCGGTCCGCCGTAGATCAGAGACCCACCTGGATCCGCGTGCACACCCTCGTTGCCTCCACGACGTTCTTCTGTCAGAGCCGCTTGCACCTTCTGCAAGGCGATTGCTCAAGCGGAAACAATGTCGGAATGAACATGCACGCGAAGACACGCCGAGGGTACCACTCGTAGTATGCAGGCCCCGGCTACAGTACCATGCTGACTGGAAGCGTCGACGTGCACATCGCACGTAAGATTCGCAAGCCTTGCGCGCATACTCCAGGGATCGCAGGCTGGTCTTCCCAAGACCTTCGCGGGGCCAAGAGTCTCAAAAAACAAGTAAGCCACCAGTCTAGCGACAGTCGTTGCAGCTTCTGGCTTGAGCTTGCGAGCTGCAGGGTGAGAAACTTAATTGTGTTCGTCAGCAAGGAGGTGAGGATCGACTGTTTCGACTGTTCACAGCCTTGCAGATCTGGCCCATTCTACTATTCATTAGAAGAGCCGCCTCGGATGCAGTACGACAGCTACATGCATTTATGCGAGCAAATTGCTACAGGCAGTTGACGTGCTCGACAAGGTGTCTTGCAACTGTCTTGCCTCTTGCATGTTCTCAAAGTGGGGGACTTGCAGACTTGCATGTTCTCGAAGTAGCATAACAATGCAAAACGCGCCAAGTCAATCGACTGAAGACACTTTGGGCATCCTGAGGACGGAACTGCGGCTTTGGGCACAGACTGCCAGCAGCCAGCCCAGCACGCCAAACTTCATCGACGCAGGAGTACCCTTCCAAAAGGCAGCTCTATCACATGATGATGTTGAAGGCCCTTATCCGCGGTGTTGGTTTGCAGGATCGCAGGTTCAATGGAGCACGTGGTGGCTTATCTCCGTCCCTCGAGGGCTTCAAGTTACAAGTTTCAGCAATTCCACAAGCAGATCGCGAAAATCGACTGGAAGGATTTGCATGAACAACAAGCCCTCGATCACCATACTAGTCCACGCACCACATAAAAAACCATCAACGCGTTTATGTTCAAGATGACATACCATGATGCCGTAGGTTAGCTTGGACACGATGTGGTCAAGAGCGCTGCAAGGCAACTGAACGCCCCATGCCAACACTCACAATTCCAACACAGAATCGCCTCGAAGCCTCCGCCATGACGCGGAGAGCCGGAGGGCTTGAGCCGCAAAGGCCAATGAAGCCATCACAAACAGGACGGGTTGCCGTAGTAGTAACGGTCGTCGTCGTCGCTGTTGAGGGGGACGCGGTGAAGAACATGCAACGGCAGAAGCAGCAGCAGCAGCAGCAGAAGTCGCTGAGAAGTGGCGGTGGTGGTGGTAGTAAGTAGTAGTAGTCGTCGTCGTCGTAGTCGTAGTCGTAGTCGTAGTCGTAGTCGGAGTCGTAGTCGTAGTAGTAGTGGTAGTAGTAGTAGTAGTAGTAGTAGTAATTGTAGTTATAGTAATTGTAGTAGCAGTAGTAGTAGTAGTAGTAGTAGTAGTAGTAGTAGTGATAGTAATACTAGTACTAGTACTTGTACTAGTACTAGTACTAGTAGTGGTAGAGTAGTAGTAGTAGTAGTAGTAGTAGTAGTAGTAGTAGTAGGACTGGTAGCAGTACTGGTAGTAGTTCTGGTAGTAGTAGCAGTACGAGTAGTAGCAGCAGTACGAGCAAGACTGGAAGTCGTTCGATAGTAGTAGAAGTAGAAGTAGAAGTAGAAGTAGAAGTAGCAGTAGAAGTAGAAGTAGAAGTAGAAGTAGAAGTAGAAGTAGAAGTAGTAGTTGTAGGAGGAGTAGTAGCAGTAGTAGTAGTAGTAGTTGTTGTTGTGGTAGTAGTTGTAGTAGTGGTAGTAGAGTACTGGTCGTCGTAGTCGTAGTCGTAGTCGTAGTCGTAGTCGCAGTCGCAGTCGCAGTCGCAGTAGTAGTAGTAGTAGTAGTAGTAGTAGTAGTAGTAGTTCTTCTAGTAGTAGTTCTAGTAGTAGTTCTAGTAGTAGTTCTAGTTCTAGTAGTAGTAGTAGTAGT